CCCACGGCTTCCCCGTTCCCTGCCCTCCTCGCCACACTAACTCCAGCGGTTAAAAAGGAGATGGAATTCACAGGCCAGGAGGCTCGCCCTTTGAGAGCTCACATTGCAGTGGTGTTTCAGCATATTCACAAAGTGGTGTGACCGGCACCACCATTTAGTTCCAATTCAGTACCCCCGAACACCCCACATCCACCAGCAGCCGCCCCCCGCCCCAGCCTCTGACAACCAAGCTCGGGCGGAACCGCTGGGGCAGGGACGTCAGGTCTTAAACTTAACTGATTCACGCCGACTCGACTCCAGCTCGGTGAATTACAATCACCCCTTTTTCGAGATCTTGACCATGAAATTGCTTTATCTGACCCGAAGGGCCTGCCCTCCACAATCTTGTCCGTTCCCACTGAGCCGCCTCTGACCCCATCATGACTTCCCGCCCCCCAACCCTCCCTATCCAGGCCACCACCCCCACCTGGACTCAGTTATTCTTAGGCGTCACTTACCATCAGCTAGTTCCACAAGCACGCGCTGCCCGTGAGCTGCCTTCACCCTTCCCCGCCCCAACCTCGACGGGACCCAACACCTGTTTCTTCGAGTTCCTGATACAAAGCTGCTAAAAGTTCCCAGAATAAACAACAAACAAATAAACAAACAAACGATGGCGAGTCTCACGGCGAAAGATGCGAAGTGTCCTCACCCGCATCGCCGTATCTACCTTGCTCCTCACCATGAAATCTGCAGCATGTCCATGTCCCAGGTTAACCGCCCCAAACCTCGGTCGTCGAGCCCCCAGACCCGCGGCCCCCAGCTCTCTCGGGTGAAGGCTGCACCTCCTATGTTATGGGGGTGACAGGCCGTCCGATGAGCCATCCCCGCGCCTCACTCCTTCCTTGCTCAGAACTCACAGCATCGGCCCCCACCCTGCCCGCCTCCTGTCTCTGGGGAGCAGACGTCCCCTCTCCCCGTGGAGGCTCCGCCCTCCTTCCTGGGGTCCTCTCCTCCCTCTAGCCCTTCCACTCTGCCTACGCGTCCTGGACACCTTGAAAACGTCACCCTCTCACTGTCCATTAACCAAACTCACTGAAGAAGCCAACTGTACCCTCTGCCTTCCCCTCCAAGTTCCTATGCTTGATGGTTTCCAGGCCCAGAACCCTCTCGAAACTGCATTCTCAAAAACCACCAGCCTCCTTCCTGACCACTCCAGATCCCAGTGCCAGCGGCTTTATTTCTAAAGTCTCTTGTGGCTTCCAGCTTCCTAAATTTGCCTTGCTTCCCACTTCTGAACCCCTGGAGCTGGAACACCGCTGATGCCCTCGCTTGGGTTTTTGTGGGTGCGTTTACCTTTGCCCCGTCACTAAATCCGAGGCTCGTTGTGGCCTGTGTCTCGCTTCTGAGAGTCTCAGGGTGCCTGGCACACAGCCTCAAGACAGGAATCCTCAGAGGAGCCGATTAGACCTGGTTCAGGTTCTTTCTGACGCAAACCTGACAGTCTTCATCTGTTTTATTTTTTTAAAATATTTTATAAGAGTTTATCTGAGCCAAATTGAAAACATGTGTGGGGAGCGAGATCGCAAACGCTCTAGTCTTTGTCTGTTTTAAACATCACGATCTCAATTTGATCCCACAGACAGATCCCAGAAGGATTAAAACAAGGTAGACTCGTCTTCCTATAGCACCTATGGGATCACGACACTGCCGTGACGTGACTCCCTGCTAAGAATCCTGGCCTAGGGTGGCCTTACGAGACTCCATGTGAGGGTGACAGCTGGGCGGGAAACAGGACATACAGCCCATCGCTGGCCCTCTGAACCGGAAGTCCCCAGAGCTGGCTTTTCACAAGGAACTGTGAATGTCTGTGAGAAACTAAATTGTACTTTTTGTTGGGTTAATTTCAATCACTGGCGCTCGGAGGCTGGTACATCTGAGTGTGGGCGTGAGTCATTTAGTTAGCTCGGTTCTGCTTTTACTCGCGTAGTCAACAACTCCGAGAGCCTTCCATGAGCCTGACCAGGTGCTGGGAGCTGGGGGTGTGACAGTGTGCAAGCCAGACGGGGCCCTTGACCTCACGAAGGAGGGGCAACGGGAAAACGGTGACCACCTGGGAGACGAGACGCGTCCTGAAGCAAAGAAGCAGGGCTCCGCCACAAAGAGACGTGGGAACACTTCAAAAAGAGGCGACATTCATTCACGCCAGGACCTGAAGGAGCTGCCCAGGCAAAGGGCCAGGGGAGAGACTTCCAGGTAAAGGCCTGAGGTGAGAAAGAGGCGGGGCATGTCTGAGGAGCTTGAGGCCACACAAGCCGGGCGGCAGTCAGACTGTGAGGGGCCCCGGTGCCCGTGACAGGAAGTCTCAGGTCTGCGGGGTTTTCAGCAGGGCACTAGCAAATCAGTGCCCAGTCGATGACCTGACACCTCACCGACCCGCGGCTTTGTGCTCTGCCTGTCGCTTTTATAGGCAGCAACACTTAGGAAGGGTGGAGCCTCATTTCTTTAGGGAAAGTGGCCCTTGTGATGGAGGGTTCTCGTGATGGAAGTAAAGAAAGCAAAGAGGCCTAAGAAAGTGACAGTTCTTGGCCAGAAATTATGGGGAAATTACATAGGACAAGAGGCACTTGTAAATTCAGGGATGCCTGAAGGCCGTGGGGTGTAAAAGTCAAGGTTTTACTGTAGATCAGGATTTCTCGGCCTGAGCACTACTGACATTTAAAGCCAATCATTCTCTCTCACAGGGGCCTGTCCTGTGCAATGCGGGATATTTAGCAGCGTCCTTGGCCCCTACCCACTAGATTCCAGTACCCCGACCTTGCCCCTGTGTTGTGACCATCGACAATGTCTCCAGACATTGCCGAATGTCCCCTGGGGTGCAAGACTGCCACCAGCTAGGAACCACAGCTGAAGCACACTCCCAACAGAAACCTCACATCATTCTCAGGGAAAAAGACCCTTCAAGGACTTTACAGAGAAGATCGTTAGCGATAAGCTGCTGGCAGGTAGGAGCAAATCATTCTCAGGGGAAAAGACCCTTTAAGGACTTTACAGAGATCGTTAGCGATAAGCTGCTGGCAGGTAGGAGCAGACACGTGCAGTCACATCTGTCTTGTGCTCTTTTTTAGTTTGGAAGCAAGCACCCTGGGCCTGTCTGGGCTCAGGGCATCCTGCAGGATAATGTAAGACTTCCTCACCCTCCTGGCAAGAGTTAAATCCTCTTTACCTCCAGTAAAGGTGACCGGTAAAGACCAATCGCTAGGAGCAGACGATGGAGGCAGGAAGCAAATCTGAGCTGCGCCACAGGCCGGGTCAGAGGCAGGTGTGGAGCAGGAGGAAGTAGATACGTTCTCTCCTGCTGGTTAGGGACCATTCCGTGGGGACAGCCTCCTGAGAAGGGTGGCTGAAAGCTGAGGAATGAATGAAGCCTTAACGCAGTCTCAGTAAGGCCCCAGGCATGCTGCGGCCACTGCGGGCTCCATCGAGTTTCCTCCCATTCTCAGCTCTTCCTCTGTGGCTGCGCTGGAGAAGGCACTGTCCTTGTTCCTTAGGACGGGCGACCTGCTGCCCCACGCTCTAGGGAGTTCGGTGCAGTGTTCCAGCGGCCTCACCCCCTGCCAGCCGTCTCGCCTGCAAACGTACGTGACGCAGGGTCACGGGCACCTTTCAACGGCCTCCCCGATGACAGCTGTCAAAGGAAACAGCAGGCAGCAGAGAAGAGGAAGCGACCGCTCGGGCCGAAGGCAGCGAAACCAATGCTCTTTCACAGCAACGACGTCCGGCCGGACTGGCTGGGGAAGGGAGCCCCAGCGGCTGGCCCCGGACAGGCGGAGATTCTGTGTGAATCGTGCATCTCCTCGGCCTGGAGCCACTCCTGGTCCCCATGAGTGGGGACACAGACATGCCTGTTCTGAGATCACGTACCGGGGGCACGTATGGGCCTGAATCATGTTCCTGTGTCCGGCGCTATCCCATTACGAGTGAAAACAAACATCCCTGACACTCACGAAAGGGAAAAGCACTCACAACGAGGCAACGAGGCGGAGGTAGGGAGAGGCTCTGTGCTGGGGATGCCCGGGTTAAGGGCACGTTCCTGGACTACAGAAGCCCCACTCTCAGTCTCCAGAGGAACCAGAGCAGGTTCTGCCTACATTGTGCTGCGCCGAATTCAGAACAGCACCCACAGTAAAGCCAGTTCCACAGTCTATCTGGGCTCGGTGGATAATGAACCTTATGCCCTTCTGTAAGGTCCGTTATCCACCGAGCCCAGATTCTGGTCTCATGGGGGATCGAGAACTGTCCTCCCAAGATGACAGAGTTAAGGAAACCTCAGGAAGTAAGCATGTCCTCTCCTTAAACCCTGATCACTAACTCCTGGAAATGCCACCTCATCCTCAACACTGTCCAGCAGACTGTTTGTAGCAAATGCCCAGAACAGGCCCTCAGAAAAACCCAAACACATAGGAAAGAGAGGAAAAAATGAAAAAAGCAGAACCCACTGAAGCTTTTAGGGTTCGCTGCCCAGTTTCTCGTGGGTGCATGCCAACATGTGAAACAATTCCCTGAACAACTGGAGACACACAAAAAGTGGCCATATCAAAGTTTTCTCCTTCCCCAAACTCAGTTACAGACATGAGTCATCTCTAAGCTTACAGACACGAGAAGCAGCAGGACCTTGGTGACTTTTACGACAGTGTGCACAGTTCATTGCTGATACCAAGAAAAGGCTGCGTGCTGTTACACATTTCCTCAGATGAGAGGGATGTGATTTGATTCATTCCGAAGATGTCCCCCGAAAAATTAGGTGAAGATGGCCCCTTGGTACTACGCACAAATGACACACACCCGGCTAGAAGACACTGGTATGAGAAAGGCTTTTTCTAGCTGTACCCAGAGATGCTTCCTTATCCATCAGAAACAGGGCAGGAATCCCCAGGCAAGGAAGATAAGTGCAAAGTAGGGCAGCTTTTTAAGGTGAGGTCAGGTCTAGAAAGCCCTTAGGTCACGCTACTTAAGACAGTGCTGCCTCCCCTGGGATACCTGGCAGCAATGTGAGTCAATCATGTAAATATTCCACTCCTCCAGCTACCCAACCAGGCGAAAGGACTCCATGATGTAAACAGACCAGTATATATGACACAAAGATAGACTGAGCGTACGTGTGTGTGTGTGTGTGTGTGTGTGTGTGTGTGTGTGTGTGTGTGGAGGGGAGTAACATAGACCCAAGACAGGGTGCAATCAATCATTCTAATTACAGAGTCCATCAAACTGCAGTTGGAAGTGTCTGCGTGCTTTCTCTGCCTCTTACGCCATCCAAGACTACAAAAGTTGTGCAACTTAAAATTAAGCTGAAAACTGAAGTGGTTTCAGACTGCTGAGATGAGCAAAACCCAGAGTCAACAGCTGTCCATCACCGTTCACATGAACCAGCAGGCAGCACAGCGTGCAAACAGCAGCAGCACCAACGTATAAATATTACGAAGGGTAAGTCGATTTTGTTGTCTTGGCTACTCTCTGATCAACATCTAAAAAGTGAACAAACCTAACTCTCTCAACATATTGTGAGCCAGGACAGCAGCGGCACGGCTACTGCTGAATCGAGGTCCCTCACTCTGGGTGTTCCCAGGGTCTAGGCAAGCAGTGGCACCCGCTAGTCCAGTCCACAGGAAGCAGAGTGCTTTTCTAGAAGCCAGGAGCACTGATGTGGGCAAAACAGGTTCTAAAAGTATCACTCACATAGGGAGAATAGAGCTCCCCGGTCTCTGTGATTTCACCGGCCATTTCCAAAAGTGAGGAAGGGTCCCTCTGTCGCTGAGCGTCTTTCCGTACAGGGGTGGCGGCGGCTGCAGCTCCTTAAAGCAAAAGAGCAGATTTCAGGTTTCTGATGGACGGAGATGGGGTAACTGGAGGTTTGCAGCCCTGCCCCGCCCAGTCCTTTTATCACAGACACTTAATGGCCTCAATATCACAAGACAGCTGGGAGGGAAGGGTCTCCCTGGATGACTGACACCTGGCTGGATTCTTTTTCCTTGCTGTGCAGGACATGAATGTATTCAATGCCGCTCAGACCCCAAGATATATAAGGGGCCTTAGAAACCACTAAGTCACACTCACCGCAAGTGCCCACTTTACACAATGAGCGTCCTTTACAATATCCCCATTTAAAGCCAGGAACGGCTTTAAATGGGGATATTGTAAAGGCGAGCTCACTACCACACAGGTCAGTCTAAGAAACTGCCTCCTCTGCCTAGGGCGAGGGGTGGGGGTTTTTCCTAGATCGTCCTCCAACACAACTCCATGCCCCAAAGCCTCTCCTTTTTAACCGGCCCTCCACTTCTCACTCCCCAACTCGACTTCTGCCTTGCCTTAGGGCTCCCTACCCTTTAGCCTTTTCCAGGCCCTCGCTCCGAGCCTCTCTCCGACTTCTTCCCTCTTGGAGGGGCCCCGAGTCTGGCGCCGCCCTAGCCCATCCCATTTTCGCGCTCAGCCCCTCACCTGCAGCGTAGCTCGCTCTGGGACGTCACGGTCGCCGCCTCCAGCCACTCGGCAGCCGGCGCCAGCTGTCCCGCACCAGCGCCCACAGTGCGCATGCGCTTGCGCCGGGAGCTCCGCTTCTCCGCGCGCGCCTCGGGCGGGGCGCAGCGCAGCGCGCTGATTGGGCGCCTCGCGGAAGCGGGACTGGAAATGGGCCCTGGCGGCTGCCGTCTGCGTGGCGGAAGTGGGTGGGTGTACTCCCACGCGCATGCGGAAGAAGTGACTGCCGGCCGGGGTGGGAAGCAGGGCTGGTTGGAAGAGGTGGATCGTGCCTTTTGCTGGGGACAGTTTCGTCGGCGGGGAGTGGGTGGGAACTTGGCGGTTTCGGGTCTCCGGTGGTTGGGGTTGCGGGGGAGGGGGTGAGGGTAGAGAGTAGCCTGCAGCTCCACACAAAGCAGAAGGGACTGCAGCTTAAGCTTGCTTCACCCTAAAGTGGCCTGGTTGACCTGGCTTGAGAGTTGGGAGAGAGAGAGGGCTGGAGCCCAGAGGGTGGTTGGAAATAGGTTTAAGACAGGACTAGAAGTTGCTCTTGGAGCAGAGTTTCAGGACGGGGCAAGTGATGGGAACTTTGGGGATAAGCCTTGGTGTTTGGGCTTGAGTCTTGGAAGTTCTGGGAGGTGGGGCAGAAGGGACAGGCAGACATGGTAGCTCAGGCCTGGCTCCTTGAGATGTAAGTCAGGGATTGTTTATCTTTAACCAGCCCTGCTCCCCTTCTTGCAAGGGATTTAGAGGCCGTGTTCTCTGAAGTGTTTAGAAGGAAAGGGATGGAGGCTCTTTTGACAACTTAGCCCCAGGTGGCATTTAGCGGGTGGAGAGCCTGGGCTCCCACCTTACATGGGCGGAAACTCAGGGCCTTGAAGTCTTTGCCCTCCCCCCCCACAGGCTGCTACCATGAGGTTAAATCAGAACATCTTGCTGCTGGGGAAGAAGGTGGTGCTGGTACCCTACACCTCAGAGCATGTGCCGAGGTAACTGTTCCACCCGACATGGGGCGCAAGCTGTTCTCCAGGGCACAGCAAGGAGGGTCGGCCTTCCTTTGCCCAAATCTCAGAGGCTGCTTCCTCTGAAGAGAAACGCTGGCGTGAGAATTTACTACATACAGGCAAAAGTGAACACTGAAGTGAAGGACTGTGACTTCCTTGGAAGAGGTCACCCATCCCTGTTTTTCCCTCACCCTGCCAGCTTCCTTTTTGGCTTTCAGCAGGGAATTCTTTTATGTAAACTAAATGTGTGTAAGAAAAAAAAAAGGAATTGTCTTCTTGCCTAATTATAAATTAGTCATATCCTTTGGTGCCAGTGAGTATGCTGTTTTTGGAGAAGTAATGTGAACTTGTCATAAAACTGAGCTGATGGCTTGTTCTGATGTCTGCTGTTTTGAAAGGCCAGGACAGTTGCAGGGGGCAATCGGCACAGTCCAGTAGACCGGGATGGTGGTAGTGTAGGGGTGTACTCTACTTGTAGTTTTCCTTTTGGGGGGTTCCTGGTGCCTAGCCTTTGTGAAGATCTGTCCAGACTTCTTTGCTGAGGTTGGCTTGCCATATACTTCCTCTGGGGAATTTGAGAAATGTTTGGCTTCAGACTGCTCTCCCTTAATTCTCCCTGAGACAGGGTGGGAAGCTGGACAGATAGAACTGACCCCTCCTGCTGTCCACTTGGTCTTGTGCCTGTGGTCTTCTGCCTTAGCAGCAATTATAACCCTTTCTTTCGGTCTTCTGTGAGCCCCGTGGTACCATGTAGGGTTCTCCTTTCTACAATTTTATCATCTCAAAAAATGTCAGACCCATGTCAGTCCTGCCTGCCGAAGGACATCCCTCTATCCCTGCAGGTACCACGGGTGGATGAAATCAGACGAGCTGCAGCGTTTGACAGCCTCCGAGCCGCTGACCCTGGAGCAGGAGTATGCGATGCAGCGCAGCTGGCGGGAAGATGCGGACAGTGAGCAGCAGAGGCCCTGAGCTGGGCTGGTAGCGGGAGGGCTGACTCCAGAGGCAGTCTCCAGGGTCCCTCCCTTTCCCATTCTCAGCTGTAACTCTCCCGGGACCACCTTGAGAAAAATAACTTGAGAAAAACACCTTGAGAAAAAACGCCTTGTGACAAGCCTGGAAGGTGCCTGAAACTCTCATTCTCTGATGCCCACTGAAGCCAGTCCCTGCGGCTGATGCTTCTTCCCCACTCACTGCACCAGGTTTGGAAGGATTTAGAGAAAGTATTTTGGGCTCTGGCTGTAACTGAGGCCCTGCCCCTCACATCCCTTGCTGCAAGCCTGGTGTGGTTATTGCTCTTCGGACCTCTGGCTGAGAGAAGGCCATCGTTTCCTGCCAGAGGCAGAATTAAGGCTTCGTAATAAACCGAAGGAAGTTCTGGCCTTCCTTTTCTCCCACCAGCCTTAGAGATGATGGTAGTTCTCTGGCTTGGGTAGGAAGACTGTCCGCACTGCACTTGGGGAGTATAGGGGATAACCCCGTCGCCTCCCTCTTTAGAGTGTACCTTCATTGTGCTGGATGCAGAGAGGTGGCAGGCCCAACCAGGCGCCACTGAAGAGAGCTGCATGGCGGGAGATGTGAACCTCTTCCTTACGGATCTGGGGGACCCCTCCTTGGGGGAGATCGAGGTCATGATTGCAGGTTTGTTCCACCTGGCCCTGCCTTCCCTCCCTTCTGGCCCTTGGATCTGCTAAACCTTAAGCCAGTCGAGGCTGCATAGGGACCTCAGAGTTCATTGGGAGGCACTGGTTAACTCAGCACCTGGCTGGGGCAGACTGCCACTTGGTACCCCCTTAGCCTGGTGGTTCACTTTATTCCTGTCATATGCTTAGGCGTGAACTTAACCTTTGATTTTAGGGTCTTCAACCTTCAGTCTTCCCCATTTTGGGGATGGGCTGGGGACCCTCCAAAAATAAATGACCTACCCTGAAGCATCTCTCCAAGCTGTGGGAGGAGCCCTCCAGCATATGGCCTTCATGGTCCTTATCCTTCACCTGAGGGGCTGTGCAACTGCTCATGAGGCAGCACGCTGAGGTTAAGGGGTCAACTTTGGGGTCAGGTTGCTATGAGACCTTGGGCAAGTCATTTGCCTTCTCTGTGCCTCTGTCCTTTCATCCGTAGAATGGTAATAATATTTATAAACTTCAGAGTTGTGAGGATTAAATGAGATCATATCTGTTAAGTGCCTGCTCTGGAGCCTGGCACGTGGCATCATTGACTTTTGTTTTCTCCTAGAGCCCAGCTGTAGGGGCAAGGGCTTTGGCACTGAGGCCGTTCTCATGATGATGTCTTACGGTAAGGAAGTTGGAGCAGACAGTCTGGGAAGTGGCCAGGCCCTAGGTGAGGGCTAGCACATGTTGGGAGTGAGCCTTCTTCAGGCCTGAAGGGGGGGAGGTGACAGGTGACAGGTGCCTCCACTGCAAACTGGGACTGGAAGGGCAAGAAGGTACTGGAGAGACCTTCATCCTCTAGCTTGTCCCTCTCTAATTTCTGGGAGGAGTGACCAAGCTAGGTCTGACCAAGTTTGAGGCTAAAATCGGACAAGGAAATGAACCGAGCATCCGGATGTTCCAGAAACTTCACTTTGAGCAGGTAAGGATGTCGCCAGAGGGTGAAACCTGGATCTGGGCCATGGAGTCTGCTGGTGCTAGGACTTGTGGTTGTAAAGTAGCCAGCCCTGATCTCTCTGGCTCTTGTAGGTGGCTGTGAGCAGCGTCTTCCAGGAGGTGACACTCAGACTGACGATGAGTGAGCCTGAGCGGCAGTGGCTTCTGGAGCAGACCAGCCACGTGGAAGAGAAGCCCTATGGAATTGGGTCGTAGGCGCCCCGCTGATAGAACACTGCGACGGGAGGGGAACGGAAGGGGCCTTTGGGGCCGAGTGCCCCCCGCTGCGCTCCAGGCGGGAATCTCCTTCGGGGCCCTTCAGACTCTGGGCTGGACTTTCCTTGGCCTCCCTCGGGCTGGCAGTGTGGCAGAGTGACTCCAGGGTGCCCCTCCTCCTGGCCAAACCTGGACTCAGACTCTCAGAACCAAGAGCCGGTGACATAAACCCACGGGAGGCATCGGGGTGAAGGTGGAGCTGGAGAAAAAGGGGGCCTGTGAACAGGCCGCCCCTTCCTTTCCCTGGGAAGGTCAGAGGCGCTGAGGCCCTGGCCGGGAGTAAAGCACCCTGCTTGGCCAGCTTCCCGTTTCCTCACTGGGCCCCTGTGGAGGTGAAGCGAGCCACTGGGAGGCCCAGCTACAGCATCTGGTCCAGCATGGGAGCGACAGGGCAAGGGTGGCTCAGTCCTCTGTGCGTCCTGTGTCCTCCGCTCATCCCTCCACCTCTGGGAACAGCTGCACCTAACAAGGCCACAAGGGGGTGCCGGAGGCACAGGTTCGGGATGGCCAGGCTGCCTGGCGACTGGGCCAGGTCTCCCTACCTCACAGCAAGGGGGACACCCCGACGTCTCGCCGCCCTTGCGCTGTCATGATGTGGGGTGGCCATCAAGAACGGCCAGGCATGTTTCAAAACACAGTTGTGGAAGAGACTCTTGAGGGAACCTAGGGCATTCGAGGGTTAGAAACAGTCCCTGGCAAGTTGAGACCGCTGCCCAAGGCCTCTTGATGGCAGAGTGGGACCTGTTGCTGGGGCCTCCCAGCCCCCTCGATTCTGGCATCTGACAGCAGATCATGCATGTGAAAAACTAGAGTTAAACAGCAATGCAAGTGTCTTCTGAGCCACCTGTCTTCAGCTTAAGCCCTGCCCCCAGGGCTTCCCCAGCCTGGCCAGGGATGTGGCGAGGCAGCTTCTCAGGCTTCACCTGTGGGGGCCTCCATCAGAGGTCAAAGGGTGGGGTGGGGGCAGGGCAGGCCCAGCTGAGCAGGGCCCAGGGCGACTGGTGCTGATAAGGGCTTGGCCACAAACCCAAACGAGATGGCCAGAGAGTGACTGGCCCTCCTCTCAACCCAGGGCTCCAGAGGTCCCCTCCCTGGTTCACTGTCTCCCTCCTTGTTCTCCTCAGTCCCAGGAACCCGCCTTCCGAGGTTTCCTGGTTGGGCGGAGAGTAGCCTCAGGCCAACTTCCCTTCTTTCTCTGAGCTCCTGCCTGAACCTCCTGGGCTGGTGGCTGCAGCTCTCAGGCCTCCCTGGCTGACCTCCAGGATGTGGCCTCGAGTGCCAGCGGTACAACGGACCTGGATCACTTGTGAAGGAACAGGGCATTTTGCCCTTGGCAAGTCCCCTGCACCCACCTGCCACATGGCATGTCCAGGGCTGGGGTTTGTTTTCCCCTAAGCCTGGACAACTGCCCTCCAATCAGGTCCATGGCCAGATAAGACAGAGGATCTGGCGCCAGCTCAGGCCACTCCTGGGAATCCCGAACCCCACTGGCTGAGGGCGGAAAGATGAAAGCCAAGTCTTCACATTCCCAAGCCAACTCCAGCCTAGATTCACACTTCCAGTGCTCCTGGAATCAGGAGGGCTCAGAGCCCTCTCAGCAGGTGGGGGTGGGCTCCCACCTCCCTGGGCAAACGTCTAGATGGGGCCCAGCACACCTGTGCAGGTTGACTGCAGAGGGAAGCACGAGGAAGCTGGGTGGGTCCCACTCCCACCCTGGCCACCCAGACAGCTACAGGCCCAAGGCCCTGTGGTTAAAGCTGCCTAGCTGTCACTCCTGGGCTTGGGGTCCCAGAGAGTCCCGGACCATCCTCTCCCTGCACCTGTCTCCTACCCTCAGCCGAGACCACCCTGGGAACACCCGCTGACCATTTCTCAAGGCCAGGACCGAGCTCTCAAGGAAGACACAGAGGCCGAGGCAGTTTGGAGAAACCAGTTGAATTTCCGATGGAGTTTGTACAGTTACAGTGGTGGTGCCTGGCTCAGGGCTGAGCAGGGTGTGGCCAAGCCCTCCCCCCACCTGCCCAGGTTTCTGGGGTGGGAGTAGAAACAAAAAATTTAAGGCTGAGGCCGCTGCTATGTCCTAGATGCAACAACCTGGAAAATCATGTTAATCAGGAAACAAAAATCCCTCTGAACTCTGCAATACTGGACTCTTTAAAAAAAAAAAAAAGTGAACGAAAATAAGATGCCCAACCCAGCCCTCTCAGGATGAGGTGCTTACTGCTGTAATCCAAGTCCTCCAACCCTGGGCCCAGTCATCACTTGAGGCCGTGACCCCTCTCCCAGTCCCATGGTCCTTGCATGGTGTAGCTCCCAGTGATGTCCCGGGAGGGGTGGCGAGCAGACACCTGGTGGGCTGAAGCCCTCTGCGAGGAGGGGGACAGTCTGCTCTTTGATTGGAGTAGGAAAGGCAAACATTCATGTAGTTCTCTAGAAAAATCAGATTGGCCAAGAGGGGAGATGCTGGTGCTGATTTGTAAGTCATTCGTGGGTGAGTGGGGGGCGGGGAGGGGAAGGGGGCTGAGTTGGGGTGTGGGCCCAGCCCTCCAGCTTTCCCGGGTGGCCGGGGGACGCGCTCAGAGGTTGCTGAAGAGTTCGTTTTTCTTGCTCCAGTCCATCTGCGGGGCCCGCTTGTTGCCGCGCTTCTGGTGGGCCCTCTCTTTGGCCGCGGCCAGGGAGATGGTGAAGTCCGGGATGGGGTCGGAGGAGGAAGAGGTAGATGAGGGTGCCGTGGGGTCCTGTTCCTTGGGGCTGTCTTGAGAATTCAGCTGCCAGGGAGGGGAGGCAGAGAGCGGAGTCAGGGCCTGGCGAGGCGTCCTGGTCTCGGTGAGGTGGCTCAGGGAAGCCAGGTCACAAGAACAGAATGTGGCTCGGCATGTGACCTCCGAGGCAGGCTGGGGAGCCGGGAACCAGTGTGGCCTGGGAATGGGCTCCTAGCAACTCGGTGCCGCCTGTCTGCCCGCCCACTTACCTCTTCACTGGTGTCACTGGAGGTGGACCTTGCCAGCATCGGTCTGGGGTTCTCGGAGGCCGCCTCCTGGCAGAGGGAGGACAGGTGTGGGTTGGCGGGGACAGGGTGGGGACGTCCTGAGTAAGGAAGGGCGTTCCCGGGGAAGGCGGGTGCCTCGGTCTGACAAGTTGCACTCAAGCCCTGGCCACCCGCCCACAGCCCCACTGCCTGGGCCTGCCAGGGGCCCTCGGGATGTACCATGCTACGTTCCTCCAAGGCTCAGGGCAGCCTGGTCCCACCGCCCAGGTGGGAAGGCGCATCGTGAGATGAGCTGGATCGCCCAGTCCTCGTCCTCCCAGTGAGGACTTTAGGGCTGCCTTGCCTTTTGGGACAGTGACCAAGGCGGGGCTTCTTGGAGCATGGGGATACTGGGGGCCTCTACATGGCACGGGGAATACCTGAGATGCTCCCTGTATCCCTTGTGGCCCACCGATTGATTCTCTACTTGGACTTGACCTCAGGAATCTTGAAAGTGTAACCCAAGGCAGCCAAGAAGGAATAAGGCGGAGGAGAGTTCTAGACTCACAGATGGAGTGACAGAAGGTCCCGGTGGTCCAGGGCCACCCCCCTTGCTGTGTCCCCCCCAGGAGCTCCTGCGGGGGGGAACCCTTTGAGCAGACCCTGCAGAGTGCCGGCCCGTCCCAGGGCGAAGGCCTGCTGGGACTTCTTCAGCTTGGCGCTGGGATGCTTGTGGCCTCAGCTAGCAGCCAGCCCGCCATCTCTCCCCCACCGCCTCCCCAGCCCTTCTGCCTGAGGAGGGGGGCTGCTTTGTTCTCCCACCCAGACTGGAAGGAGCAGTGGCCGGCGGCGTGCAGCCAGACACTGAAGCTCTGTTCTTGGGGGGAAGAATGGCCTCCTCTGTGCGGTGGGGAGTTGGGGGTGGGGCTTGTCCCCCAGGATGGCGGGCTGCAGAGGGGCGTGCCAGGCCTCTCTCCAGACGGCCTTGGTCCTAGGCCAGGGCCGGGGGTACACAGGCAGTTCTACCGCTTGGAGCTGGGGAGGGAGCAGCTTGGAACCAGGAGTTTGAACCTGAGCTTGATGGCTGTCCTCCCGACCACACCACCTTCCACCCTTCTTCCCCAGCCCCGGAGAGCCAGAGAAGCAGGTAGAGGGTCTGCCTTTACCTTCTGGATCTCCCCATTGGTGAAGGGCTCAGGCAAGGGACCTACAGGAGAAAAAAGCAGAGGTGAGTCCAGACGCTCTGGGGCACGTGGGCGGAGTGCAGCATGGAGGGGTGAGAGGCGCGGGGCTGGCCAGAGAACTAGACCTTGTTCCCAGGGTCAGTGTTTCAAAGTCTCTTGACTGCCACCCACTGTAAGCACTGCTGACGTTTTGACGACCCAGAACACACAGATTGTGCGTGACTAACAAGCTTCACAAAGCAGCTGGCCCTTACTACGTCCCTTAAACCTTACCCTTGCTGTCACAGTGCTCTTTGATGTTTTCTATTTAATTTCAGTAAAAAAAAAAAAAAAAAAATGCTGGGCTCTGACTACCAGATCAGTCTCAGGAACAACTGATGCCTGAGGAGCTCCTCGAGAAAAGCGCTGTCCTAGACTGACGGCAAGTCCCGGCCGGCAGCTCATTACAAACACACACTCCCGGGCCTTGGCACCAAGGCTTCTGATTCGGGGGGTCTGGAGCAGGCCTGGGACTCGGCACGCTCCAAATGCTCCCTGGGCGACAGAGTCACCAGGATGAGAGCCACACCCAGGCTGTGGTTAGTACCTGCCCCAGCTGAAAGGGAAAATCATCCCAACTCCTCCTTGGTAGTGTGAGATGAGAGGCCAGGAGGGCTCGGGGCAGTGTCCTGTGTGTGTTCCCCGCCACCAACGGAAGACCTGGCAGTGGCAGGAGGGGTCAGACGGAGAATATAGGCCTGGGGTCACCCTCGGTGGGCCCCTGCAAAGGGACCCGCTCCACCTCCGGGCACAGGTCGGCCTGGGTGGGTTTCTCCTGAACTCTTAGCTTCACATAAATGTTCATCTCTCTCCTTGCGCTGCACCAGAGGCCCGGGCAGTCAAGGTTACCTGACACCTTTTCCTCCCTCTCACCTGCCTCGGCCAGGCAGGGGACTCCTGGGACACAGGGATAGTCATCCTCCCACTGTCCCCAAGCTGGACCCTTCCCCATGAGCTCCAGTGGTCGGGGTGAAGCCCTGGAATTGGGGGACGGGTGGGGGAAGCATTCCTCTCTATGGGACGCCCCCAGTTACCTCTGATTGGGAGAAGTGGGTAAAGACACCATCCTGGAGAAACCGGGAGGGACACTGGGAAGGACAGCTGCCCCAGGGCCTCTCCCTGGGCAGGTCCGCTGGCCAGAGGCTGCAATTACGCTAGTTCTCAAGGCCCTTCCCACCCTAGCAGACGGGAGGAGCGTGAGGGCTGACGGCCTGTGGGTGCGGGGAGGAGGCAGGGGAAGGCATCCGGGGAGCCGCTGGAATCCAGATCTCCGCCGTGTCTTCCTCATGCCATGTCCCCAAGAGCAAGGCTGGGGCTTCTCTGGGCCTCAGTTTCCCCCTCACTGAGGAAGGGGATTATCCGAGTTAATCTGGTTTCCCATGAACTTAGGAGATGGGTAAGGTGACAGACACCCTGCCTCCCATGCCCAGAGACTGTAGGAACTTCCGCTGACCCATCCCGTGGCAGGTCCTTTGTGTGGACCCCGCCGCCCCCCAGACACAACCCTGACACCTTCGGGGAGGCCCTGCCCATTGCAAAGTACGAAGAGGCTCCACCCACCCCACACCCCCAGGAGGTCTTCCCAGGGAGAAAGTCCAGACCAGGGAGCAGGACGCTGCTTAACTCCTCCCTGCCCTGGCATAGCCGCCCCACCCTGTTTGGCTTGGGCTCAGGCGAGGGGAGGCGCCAGGCTTGGCAGGGTAATGGTGGGGGATGGGGAGGGCAGGGGCCCAGGGACTGAGGGGGGACCCACTGCTCTCTAGAGCCAGCAAGGCTGGGTTTCCAAGACAACCGGAAAGAAGGGAAGGGAGGCACAGGGCCTGTCACTGGACTCTGATCTGACCAGGCAAAGGCTGGAGGCCTCCCCAGGGTTAACCCTTTCCTCAGACCAGCACGGCCCCGAGAACGTGCTGGCCCGGAGGGGACGGAGCGCGGGCCTCCCTCTGGCCCACGAATCCTCCGTCCCATCTCACCGTCCCTCACGCCAGCTTACCACTGTCATGTGCCATCCTCAGAAACCGACGGCCAACCTCTGCTGCTTCTCCCAGCACTAGGCCCCACTCTCTGCCAACCCGCCCCCTGGGCCTGTCCTGAAGAGAGGAGGGGGCATGGAAGCAGGAAGCGGTCTGCCCCTCACCAGGGACACAGGTCTAGAGCCCTGGCCAACGCCCTCGACCGGGGGGCCTCCAGCCACACCACGTGGCTCACCATTCAGATGCTCCTGAGATGGGATCACTTTGCACTTCTTGAAGAACTCATCGGTCTCTCTGTCCACCACCAGCAGCTTGGTCTCGTCCCCACCAGCCTTGATGGCAGATACCACGTCCCCGTGCTGCTTGCCCTCCATGCAGACCCCGTTCACCTGTGGATGGGGGTGTGGTTACTGACACAGGTCTTAGTTTGGGGGAGGAGGTACAAGTGGTGCTCTTCGTCCTCAGCCAGTTGGCAATCTGGGGACACTGAGCTCACCCTTGCCTGTAGGGGCCAGTGGTCCTCCCACTTGACAGTCAGATGGGATGGGAAGCAGGACACATAGGAAAAGCCAAAGAAAATACCCCGATGAGACTGAACAAACACAGCTGTGACGGACGGGAGGGAATGGCCCGGGAGGCTGGGGAGGGCCCCAGCTCTTCCACGTCCTTGCCGTCGACCTCCCTCTCTGGGCCTCAGTTTGCTCACGTGTAAAATGAGAAGTCTGGGGAGAGCTGATCTTCCAGCTCTAAGGTTCTAAGACTGAGATTCTGGGACCTGCCCAAGGCATTTGGGTCACGTTTCCTCTCCCGCAGAGCACAGCGCAGGTGTGTGAGTGCGCCCAACAGCCTCACAGGGAGAAGGATTTCACCTTCCTGTCCCCACCTGTGCCTGGCACTGAGGACTCAGGCAGCAGGAAACTCCAGGGGTGGCCCCGGACACGCACCCGGAGTGACGGGTGAATCATGGGCTGCCGAGGGTGTCTGGTCGGTGAAGCAGAGCCCAAGGACATCAACGAACTCAGTCCCTCTGTCCACCAGCCACCTTTCCTTCCTTCCTTCCTCCCTCCCCATCTATGGGCTGCCTGGGCCCTGGGGGCTAACCGAGGAGCAGACAGTGTAACAACGTCTGCCCCAGGAGTGCCTCTTCTGTGAGGAGGTGGTCGGGAAGGAGAACCTGGGAAAAAGGAGAGAAGCGTTACCTCTACGATGCGATCCTGGGCCTGGAGCCCTGAGGCTTCGGCGGGCGAGTCTGCGTCCACTGACCGGATGAACTGGCCTGGCTTGGACTTGTCGCTGTGCAGGTTGAAGCCATAGCCGTTGGCGCCCCTCTTCATGGTGCAGAGCCGAGGCCGAAGCTCACGCTGTGGGGATAAAGCAGGGTCTGTACCATTCCACGACATCCCTGCCCTGTGCCTGACCCCACCTCCCCATCGAGGAAGGTCCGGGAATAAGGCAAGTCTGCTTAGGTGCCACGTGGCAGCGTGAGAGAGTGCCAGCCTGTGTGCAGACCCAGCGTTGCAGCAAGCTGCCGAGGTGACTCTGGGCGACAAGGCCCCTAGGCCCCTGTCAAGCCTCAGTTTCCTCTTCTGGCAAATGAAGAGTGGGACCAGATTAGCTCAAGCCCCTCCCCCTTGACATTCTAAGGTTAATCATGTTATTTTGATTGCTACCTTGTCCCTCCTACCAACAGCTCAGTCTGGACTTCCTGGCAGGGGTGGTAGGTGGCACCCCTGCCAGCTGCTGGGGACCTGAGACATGTGACTGGGGACCCTAGCCCCAGCGTACCTCGTCCTCTGCAGCAGGGGGGCAGGGACAGGTGTTTACTGAAAGCTGCTCAGCATGTTTACAGTAAAGCCCTTTCTTACCCACACGGCCCCCGTCTCTGCCACCCGGCCACGTGGCCCAGCCAAAGGGAGCCAGGGACGAGGGGGCAGCACAGCCAGGGGTCCCGGACAGGACAAGGACACCCCACTGGCAGTGGCGACAGAACCCCAGAGAACCTGCTGGTCCCCAAGGAGCATGCGTGGGGTGGGGCTGTGAAAAGCAGGGCTGGGCTGAAGGGAGCACGATGTAGCTGCAGCCGTGGCCTGGACAGGCGACCTCCTGAGAGGGCACAGGCGGATTCTCCTGAGCACTCGGACACTCAGCTGAAACAGTTTACACCGTCTGACTTAAGCAGCTGAGCTCAGAAGCTGCAGGGTTAGGATACGGGTACATGATGCGGGGAGCACATGTGAGTGGGCGAGAAAATGAAACCTTGGCCAGAAGCCCGAGCTCCAGGACTGACTAGGGGTCCCTCTCCCCGTCCTCCCAGGCCTGGCACAGGGCCGCAGCAGGAAGCCTGCGAGCTCTGGGTCACCCCTGGACGCCAGGCAATGGGCAGTCGCTCACTGGAACCCTGGCCCAGGTTCCAGCTTCCCCACTATGTGACCTGGGGCAGTAATTACCTCCTCAGGGCCTCAGGTCCCTCATTTATAGACCACTCGTGGTGCCACCTGCCTCCCATGGTTGCCGGGAGGCAGTGAGGTAATTCGCCTACAGGGGACACTTGACAACTGTAAAATCCCTGTGCCTATGCAGACCTGACCCCTCCTGTGAATAGTCAAATGAAAGCGAGAAGTGAGATTCTGGGGGTGTGGGGTGGGGTGCTCTGAAACCCCAGTCCCCACCTGGGAGCAGAGATGGCAAGGGATGGGTGGGGAAGGAGAGGAGGGTTCACCAGCCCCAACTTGCCAGCCCCAGGTGGAGGTGCCACTGCAGCTAGACTCAGTCCCCACCCGCCACTCTCGGCGGGGGGAGGGTGGGCGGGCAGCGGGTGACTGCCTGCCTTTAAATGCCAGGGCGGATCTTTCTGTGTTTCAGGATGTTGATGGGGGTGTGAGAGGCCAAGACAGGAAGGAGGGGTGATGGCCGGGCCTGCGGGGACCCTAATCTGGACTAGGTCAGGTCTCAGGCACCCTATTCGCTCAAGTTCTCCTCATCCCTCCTGCCTCTCAGTGCAGGGCCCACACCAGTAGGCCCGCGGGTACCTGCTTATCCGGGCCAGCCACAGCCCCCTGGGACGTCGTTCGCGGACTAAGAGAGGCTCTTCTCCCCTCCAGCTAATCCCTCCGCAAAGCTGCCAGCTGGGCCCTCCCCAGCCGAAGTGAGCAGAAACAGGTCTGACCAGCTGCCACCACCAGGGCAGGCTCAGCTTTCTGCCCCAGCCAGGCTGAGCTCTGCAGCCACCCTGAGAAAGTGGGCAGGGTGAATCACGGGTAAGGGAGGGAGCAGCTCCGTGTCTGCTTCTCCCCGCCCCCCTCACTCCAAGGAGCCTTCCCATAGCAACCTGGCTGGGGCTGGTCACACCCCGCTCCCCACCGCCATTGAGATGGGGAAACTGAGACTCGGGAGGTGATGTCCACTGCCTGACGTCACACGGCTTTACAGGGGAGGGGCCAGAACGCCAGCCCTGTCTCTGACTTGGAACCCGTGTTCCTCCCACCATCCGTGGGCTGGCCCTCAGGGACCAAGTCCAGACTGGGAGGGGGCCCTTGGAGCTGAGGCTTCAGCACGAGTCACAAACACTGGGGTCACTCTCGCCAAGGTTCCGGCAGTCTCTGTTGGGAGGCCCTTGGGAGCAGACGAAACCACAGCCTTCCTTCCGGGTGCTCAAAAGGCCTCATGCAGCCACAGCTACAGCGTGGGCTTGGGACAGGCGACGAGGCAGTGAGCAGGCCTGGGCTGGGCTTGCGGGGCGAGGGCTCATGTGCTTTCCTGGCTGGCAGGCCGCGCTAGCTGTCCTGTGATGCGGACTCCGTGCGGTGGGCTTCCCTCACTGATCTGATCCTCAGCACGTTTCACCCCGGGACCCCTTGTCTGGTGACCTGTCATTAAAGCTGGAGGGCCCGCTTTGTTTTCATCAAGCCATGAAGACGGGAGAAATGGGCACCCAGCCTGAGGGCCGCAGGGCCCTGCTGCTCCCTTCTCCCTGGCACCCCACCCCATTGCCCTCTGAGGGTGGCTGGGCGGGGGGACAGGAAGCCCCAGGTAGTTCAGTGTTCAGACACCTACAGAGGCCCATGTAGCTCCCTCATTTCTAAGGCCCTGGAGCTAACCACCCTTCCCACAGGAAGGGGCGGGGGCTTCCCATCTTCCAGGGAGACCAGCCTTGCTTCTTCCCACCTTTCCCCCGGCTTGTCTCCAGGAGGTGTCATTCCAGCTGCTGAGTCAGCCCATCGCATCCTGGGTGCAGGCTGGTGCCAACAGGAGTCCCTGGGGGCAGCCTCCCTGGGGATCAGTGGGGCTGGCCCGACACTGAGAAGTTGAGGAGGGGTCAGGCACCTAGCCTGAGCTTGGTCGCCATTGCTCCTGGGCATGTACCCCCAGAGCCGGGGCAGGGCCTGGGTTCTGCCTCTAGGAAAAGGAGTAAGTGGAAGTCCAGGCCATCTTGGGCCTGATGTGTGGCCCCCAGTTCAGGGGGAGCCTGCCATGGTGCTAGAGGGGTCCAGGGCCGGGGGGCACTTCAACAAGCCCCAGAGTGTTCAGAGCCTCAGGCAGGACTCCCGGCGACGACAGCTCAGAAGTAAAATGCAGGGTCCGCTCAGAGAGGAGTGGCAGAGACCCGGGAGCTGGAGAAAGCAACGTGGGACAACAGTGGCCAATGGGCAGCGCGAACGGGCCAGGGCGGCTGGGGCCGGAGGGGTCTGAGCCTCTCACTCCCAGAAAACGCCAGACCCACTCTCGGGAAAAGACCTGACAGGACAGCTGCCTCTGACTGTCATGAGGCTTCTCCTGCTCTTAGGTTCTCGGGCTGTCCCAAACCCTATCCCGGGCCTGACGTGGCTGCCCCCCACCCCCCATCGCCTCCTCTCCCCCGGGGGAGTCCAGCTCCACCCCAAGTGGCCGCCCATTCACCTCCACCCACGCAGCCCAGGGAGCGGATGGCGGGCACGGAATTCAATAGGCACCACCAATAGCCACCTGGAAAGCTGCGGAAAGTCGATACCCTAATCCCGGTGACTGTCTCTGGGGAGAGGCCCAGGGCCGCTCCCTGCTCCTGTCAGGTAGGGCTCAGGGACGGTGGCTGGGGGCCAACGCCCACTGGGCCCAGCCCCTCCCTGGCCAGTGCCATGGTGAGGAGCCTATAGAAAACGGCCAGGCTGCCTCCCGCGAAGGGCCTGCTGGAGGAGTGGGGTGATCACCAGGGTGGCCAGGGGAACAATTGAAATGACCTCGCAACCCAAGACCGCCCTTCCCCCAGCCCAGCCCCAGACAAGGGCTCTTGTTTATGCACCTAAGAATGGTGCCTGGCTGCCCCACACAGGGAAATCGGCCCCCAACAACAAGGTGGCCAGAGAAGGAGATGGGGGCGGTGGGGAGGAGGGGCCCTGGCTGCTCTGGTGGGGGTGGGGCAGGGGGTTAGCAACCACGGCTGCTCTGAGAGGCACTCAGTCCATTCCACGGGATTCTGGAGACACAGGCTTGGGTCTGGTGCCAGCTCTTTAAGGAAGCCAGGATGAAGAGAGCTGGCCCTGCCTGGGGTGACGTGTGACTGGGTAACATGGGGGCATTGTCCTTAGGGCAGGCTGGGAGGTGACTAGGAGCTCAGACCACTGGCCAGCATCCACGGCTCTAGGCTGAAGGATCCTCTCCTCACCCAAGGGGAGGTACAGAGGGCATGGCTGCCACCCACTCATGTCCTATGGCCCTGATGTGGCTCCATTTCACCCTGTGGGGTCTTCCCCCAGCTCTGTGCAGGCTGAGGAATATTAGATACCTCCATTTGTGAAAAAGGGAGCTGTTCCTAGCCCTTGACCTTAGACTTCCTATTTCTCAGTGGGAAAGCACTTTTCTGGAGCCTAGCAAGGTGGGATCCACAAGGGAGACATAAGCTAAAGTGGGGGCTGCTTCTCCAACCCCCCAAGCAGGGTCCCTGAGCCAGATTCCCCCTCTGCTGTCCAGGGACCCACCCGAGGGAGAGTTTGGCTCAGGTCTCCCCAGGGCTAGACAAGGCTGGGATGGAGCAGGCTGGTACGTGGGCTGCTGCCTGGCTGGACACCATCCAGGCCGGCCACCCCATGCCTGCCTGCCCAGCAAGCACTCCATCGTCAGCCCTCCTCATCCCTCATTCTCCTCCCAGAAGTTGCTGGATTTAACTCCTGTGGGCTAGCCCAAGGGGCTACTTATAAGGACCTTCGGGAGCTTGTGAAATTGGGGCTCTATCGAAATAAACAGTGGCTGTTCACTGAGCACTTATATATGCCAAGCACTACACTGGGGTTTTATGAGTGTTTTCTTGTTAAAACACAACTTTAACCCTACAAGGAAGGTATTACTGCCCTCATTTCACAGATGAAGGAACTCAGGTTCAAAGAGAGCA